GTTAAAAAAGGGACAGAACACAAGAACAGAGGGCCACAGGCAGGCGGAGTCCTGCTGTCTGCTGAAAATGTTCCTTAACAGCATAGCAGTCACAATTTGACAGATACCAAAACTAGGGTTTTTTTCTTAAGAATTAAGGTAATACAGGAAATGCATGGAAGTACAACATAAGTGTGTTAGAGAAGCTAGAAAGTGAAAAGAAAACCGCTTTGCAAAATAAACGATACATTTAGAAGAACTAAACTCTGCTTGCTGGAGTACTTAGAGAAGCTGGAAAGATAGGTGCAAGGTTTATCTGCACAGATTGAGGTCAAACCTAGAAGGAATTTGAGGAAAGGGTTACCAGGTTCTTGGGACAGGTTCAATAAAGTCTGAGGGGTGATGTGCTACATCAAAAAATGAAAAAAGGCAGTACTGCTGTAACCACAGACCAAGAAGATACCAAAGGGATGGCTGTGTTCAGTCTTGCAGTTCTTTATACTTACCAATGGGCAATATTTAAAAGGATGTTGTGAGCACAAGAGAGGAAAGTGCCTTCAACTTCAGAGTTTATGGCAAGTTTACTAAAAAAATTGTACAAGTGCTTTCAGAAAAGAAGCCTGGCAGGAGAGAACAGGAAGAGAGTCATTTTGGCCTCTGCAAGAATCATTTGGTGGGTCTACGCAGTGAAGGAAAGGATGTTATAGGGCTGTTCATGTTGGAAACCTGGGGAGCAATTAAGGGTGTTCTGATTAACTATCTCTGGCAAAAAAAAATGCATCAAATATCAGAAGTACAGCGGCTCAAGTGCAACTTTATTTTGGCCTGTAAATGGGAAGTTTTGTGAGGGCACCAACTTGCATCTTCCAAGAGGAAGCATTGTGGGAAGCCAGGAAGAAACACTGGGCTAAACTCATGTATCCAACACAGCTGAGTTGCCTGTTTTGTAAAACCTTATATCCTTATCTGTTACATCTCCTGGAGTAATTATTTACTTAGAGGTCAGAACAAAGATAAAACCTCTGTACTTCCCCCTTATTGCCTCTCTGCACCAGGTTAAGGCTTCCAACCCCAATGGATACTCCAGGGCTGGGACCTCTGTCACAGGGAAACTAGGTCTGTTAAACAAGCGTTGATGCTGCAGTCCTGAGGAAAAATGCTTTGTGTCTTCCCCACTATCATTTGATTACTCTCCAGCTAAGAGAAGAAACCAACACACCCTCCAACTGATGAGAGCATGCAGCAGCCTTCTTCAATCAGTACGCAGAAGCCTCAGGAAGGACCAGAACAAGGCCTAGGGCACCTGTAAACATGAAGGTTTAAGGTGTATCCATTTAACTAGCAGTAGAGTTGAGGCCCCACCAAATCTAGAGGTGTCAGGATGAAGCAGTTAATACAGGAGTTCCATGTTTAAAGGCAGAGCTTGAATTTCTAATTACACTTTTAAAGAACTACTGTTTGCCAAAGCCTTGCTCTTACTTTTAGTGCACATTTAACACCATGTTTTGTCCAGGATAACATTCTGCAGCAGCACTGGTGTTTTAAAGGATGGTACCTCAGAAGACCAGTTCCCAGCAGAGCATGGTACTTTAAACACCTACAGGAGGATTTATGGTTAGACACGCAATTCTTTTTTGCAGACTTGCACATGACTCATGTGTTGGGCACAACCCTGGGGAAACTTTCAGTAGCTTGTTCAGCCCCAGCTCTGTGCTCCAGAGCAGCTGGCCAGCTTTGGAAAGCAAGCACTCAAGTCCCTGGGTTAGGCTAGGGACTTAAGGACTGTGTAGTTAATGGACTAGAAACATCTGTTTTAAGGAAAAAAAAGGGTTTCCTCTCCCCCTACATAAACAAGACTGAGAACTAACAGAGAGACAACACAACTTGGCAGGAATTGTAGCACGACGAGTTCATTCAGGTTGTGCAGGCCTGGTCTGTGCTGAAGTTTAGGCTGTACCTGCTGCTTTAACTCACCAGCCAGCCCAGACACCCTCCTTTCCCAGGAAGGCTTTCATCTTTGAAAGAATTAGCCTCGCTGCACCACTCCACACTCACCATTGACCATACATTGTTCTGGTATGATTTTGGTGATGTTTAAGATTGGACAAAGATTGGTCATAAGGGAACCGCAAGTCACAGGGAGTTTTTAACAACCTGAAGTTTGTAACAGCAGGGGCAGAGAAGGGCACAAGTACCTCATTATTTTAAAATAAGTCCGCACTGGTCAAAGCTCTGTCATTTCTTTTTAATGAGTTTCAAGTGTACAGTGAAGCAAAAGGGGCCACTTACCTTTACTCCAGACATGCTCCAAGACATGCTGTGAACAGCATCCTACCCTTCAAGGTCTTCATTTTGGATCATGAACACATGTCCCAACAGCAATGGAGAATTGTTTTCTGGGTTTAAGGATCTGAGGATAGGTTGTTGAAATGCAAAAGTGGCATAGCCTGAGGAACTAGAGCTATGAGCAACACACTTTCCCATTCAGGGAACTACCTCCTCATGCATTAGGCAGTGGCTGGACAGAAGTAGACTTGGATCAAGCAGCCTCTTCCCAGGAGCTGCTGATCCATATATCTTGTTCCAGACTTACCACAGAGTCAGTCTAGCACGTGGTTCCAGTACAACTGGAACTACCGTCATTGCAATGGAAGACTACCCACTGCTTCAAGGGCCAGAACTTCAGGTGTGCGTAGAATATGGAAGTGACAAAAATAAATGACACTGCAAGGAAAGTTTGGTATCCCAGCCCCTCCCCACCCACTGACAGACCAGACAGACTCAGTAAGGTGGTGAATTGTGTTTCTTAGAGACCATTTAAAGTACATGAGCTGATTACTATAACATGCCAGAGATTACAGTTGTGTTTATAGAGGAAGGAAATAAACTGCACGTGCATGAGTGGCTGTAATGCTGTGGACAGCAGAGTCACTTGCTTTTACTTAGAGGGCCTTGGTGATTTTTTTTTTGCCCATGCATAGAGACACAAAGGAGGGGAAAGGGAGCAGAAGAGGCAACATACAACATCTAAGAGAAAGAAATGGAAGAGACAGCCTAGGGGGACCTCAGCCCCCAGAGGAACAGGAGGAATGGGGCACCAAAGGCTTATTTAGAAGAGTTCAAGAGAATTGCTGGTCTGGGGGCCTCAAGCTTGTATGCCCACCCCCTAAAATGATAGCAGTAAGTAGTACAAGCAGGCCCTGGCTCCTCTTCAGTAGATGCACTTCTGACCATCCATCACATCTCAGTTCCACAGGGAATTAGGGAAGTGCTCAGGGGACGAGGGCTGCTTCACTCCAGATCTTCATCTCTGCCCTCACCCAAGGTGGAGAGGGATGGAATTGCAGGGAGATGAACTCAGCGCAAATGAAATGCTGGGGCATGGAAGTGAGCATGCAAAACCTAGTCCCTTCCCAGATGCCCTGTGAGGAGGAATGGGGCCTCCCCGGCACACCCAATAAAACAAAAAGCATCTGCTCCTCCCATCTTTTGTATTTCACTCCCATCTGGGAACTCATGATGTTCTCCCCTGCCTCCCCACATCATCTTAAGCCTAGACAGATCCCAGGGTATTCTAGAACCGAGGTAGAGCTTCCTAAATTAAAGGAGTACCCTCTTTCCAGTCTAGATTACAGGCTACAGCTCAGCTTGTAAAAAAAGACAAGATGCACATTCCTCAGAAGACTGCAGAATCTGAGGAACAGGGCAGCTCATTTAACCCCAGGTTTGACAACACATTCAAGCAACTGGCAGCTCCTGTTATTTCTGAAGGAGGACAAGGGGATTGCTTACAGAAAGCCACAGCATTCCATGCTGCAAGTTTACTTCCAGCAGAGACCATCTTGGATGTAAATTCAAGAGAACCCATAGCAAGTAGGAGGATTTCAGTTTGATAGGGAAGATCTCTAGAGATCTAAGCTGCCAAACTGGGACATTTGATGTCACTTTGCAATACCCATGCCCAGAGCAACATTTCCCTTTGAATCCCTAGCTAACCATTCCAAGTATTTTTCTAACTCCTGCTGGAAATTAGGACTTTGTGGTAGCAGAAACAGAACAGGTATTCCTAATCAGAAAGCTGTGTGGCTCACTCATCTGGAATACCTCCAGTCTCCTTCACCTCCATCTGCTATGTAGTGGACTTCCTTTGACATTCAACCCAGCAACACAAAAGCCAAACATCCATTCCCACTCCTACTCTGCCACTACCCCAAAGTCTTCCAGAAAGCTACAAGACAGTAGAAAGCCCCAGGGTCCTGGCTTGTGTCTGCATAGATGAAAGGAACATTTGACACCCCCCCACCAGACTCCTTACTGTTTTTCTTTTGTTCCTTCTGGCAGGAGATTTTACTCCCACATGTGTCTTCTAGATAGTAGCAAAACTCCTTTCACTTAACTGTGTTTAGTCTGTTGCACTTGACTGAGGTAATCATGTAGGCTCTCCTTTATAATAACTGAAATGGCCATGTTCAGACAGCAAGTCATCTGAAAATAAGGACAGGCAGAATAAATCATTTCTTTAAGTGCTCATCTCTCCATGGCTAGAGAAATCTAGATGACTATATCTCACTCAGTCAGATGGCTCACAGTCACTGACCAACACAAACTAGCCTTTATTTCAGAAGCTCAATGAAAAGCTTAAGTCATGCTGCCACTCTTTTTAGGCAGAATACTAAAGAATCTCACATGCTGAAGTCCTTCATCCCCAAAGGCACTGCGTTAAGGCATTCTTATTTTGCTAGTGTCCACACAGGCACTATTTGACAAGCTCACACCCAAAAATAAACCACAAAAATTCCCTGCAGAAGAGCAGGAGCATTAGCTACCCACTCCTCCTATACTTCCCTTTCCTCTACACTCAGATGACCCTCCCTAAAGCTGCAGCAGCTGTTGAAGAGTCTAACCATGTTCAATAGAGCGCTTCAGAGTCCTATACAGAAGACAAATTAAAACCAATAAAGAAATCAATGAAGAAGCTAGGTGGAGGGGAAAGGAAGGGAAGATTCAGGGGCAAGAAGAGACAGGCAAGGTGACAGGGGACAGTAGGCTGCAGACTGAAGGAGCTACATTCAAGTAAAAAAGTAGACTGGAGACAAAGCAATAGGAAAAAAAAGGAAAGAACAAAAGGGCAAGTTACACCAAAGGTCCCCCAGAGACTTCCAAATCCCCCACCAGGGAAAGGGCTCACCAACCCACCCACTCCAGGGTAAACAACCCTCATACTTACAGGTTTACCTGACCCGGCAGACAGAATTTCCCATTTCTACAATGATGGCCACCCCCAATTCCTTCTGTTACTGTGTAAAGTATACCATTTCCACAGTAAGCGTGGGAGTTCAGCACCACCACCTCCCTTCCCCAAGGACTGAAGTTAACATTTATGCAATCAAGACCCTCCAGATCTCAAACTAAAAAGGAAGAGTTTCAAGTACTCTAGGATTGTTACTTCTTCACCTTTGATCCTGGGCTTTTTGGTACTTACTTACAATCACCACCACCACAATGGCACAAATCACTCCCATCATGATCATCATCTGGAGAGAGAAAGATTGTCACAGAGTAACACTCAGAACACATTGATAAGTTCACATCTTCCCTGACAGTCAGGGAACATAAGCCAGACCATGAAGGTATGATAGCCAAGGCCTCAAAGTCCTTCCACAGTGAAAGAATTCTAAGCATTTAAAATAGTTAGTAAGCCCCAACTATCCTCTCAAAGCCCTGCAGGAGAGGACTAGCCTAATTTCCTTCTGATGAAGGAGCTCACGGCACTAGGAAACTCACCTTGCAGTTCTTCCACCAGTACTTCCTTTTGAGTTTTGCTGCACTACTTTCAAATTGTGAGGCACCGGCCTGAAGTGCATCTGCCCGGTCATCTAGCTCTGACAGTTTCTGGTCTCGTTCCAGCACCTTGTCTACATTTACACGCATTATATCAACCACCTGCAGAAGGAAGAATAGTAGCAGCAGTTACATTGGTAACAAGAGTTGAAAAAGTAAGAGCAGCAACTTGGCCAATAAGTAACCCTGAGCTACTAACAAGCAAAAGCCCCAAACAAGGCAAAAAGGTCAGGATATGAAACAGCTTTCAAGTCGTTGCCTACTTTGAAGTGGGGAAAGAATCCTAGGCACCCTGCTAAAGCATCAGTTCAAGTACACTTAAACCAGGTCCTCAGCCCCACATTATCACCTGTTTTTAAAAGCTCTCAAATCCAGCAAGCCTAAGCCACCCCCGTTATGAGCATAATCATATGCTCGCTCCTCGATAATTGCAAGATAACTTAGAGCTACATGTTGCTGCCCCAGTGAGGCATAAAGTCGTTACTGCATGACAGCAGCCACGCTACAGACGCTGACCCTGGAAAGTCAAGCAAGGTTCCCGGCACATCACACATTGATCCTGCACACAGACTGTTCCCCTGAAGCAGCAGGCAGGGATTAAGAGCTGTTCTGGATGCCGCTGTATAGCTTTATTTCCATAACAGATGGATAATACACAGTGCAAGGTACCAAAAATCTAACAGGCCTGCTCCTTAGAAGTCATAGCTGAAATTAAGCATCTTTTAAACATAAAGCAATTTCATCTCTGCTCCAGCCTCTTTATATGTCTGCCATTGTACTTTGATTATTGAGTATTTTCTAGCATTGGCATGAAAAGAGCATCCACCCCCTCAACAACAGACGCCTGTCAAGAGCATCGCTGCTGCAGAGCAGTGGGAGAAGAGTCCAGGCAGCCTACGGGAAGCCAGCGTGGCTGGCAGAGCTACTAACCTCCTCCACTTGTGCCTGCGTCTGCTGCAGCCGGCGGTTACTGCTCAGATTGGGGGGTGGCCCAGGGGGGCCCCCACCAGGGGCTCCCCCTTCGGGGGCCCCAGGAGCAGGTTGCTGAGCTGGGTCAGACCTAAGGAAATGCACATATGGGCAAAGAGAAAACCCAGTCAGCCGCTCAAGAGAGGACCCCCCCC